GTTATGATAGCAACAATGAAGAGTTTCAAAGCATTTGTAAAATAGGTAAGTGCAATTTGTTTATGCATGTGTTGGCAGCCTTTACTATGATTTCCAAGTCCCTTTACCTATTACTGATCAGTCTGCCTAATATATTGATGCATGACAGGCACTGGATTCTCTGAAGCAATGCTTGAAGAACGTTCTGCCAGTCTCCGTACTAAAGTGATACCCAAACCTAAGGTCTGTTTTTTTCTTCCACTTCGATTTTGCCACAAAAGACTGTTTATGTATTTGGTTCTGTGGATTCTCTTGCTAATTTTTACATTCTTGTCAATTGCAGTCATACTATCGTTATGCAGAAACAATGAATCCCGATGTATGGTTTGATGCCTCTGAGGTAATAACCATCGCCTTTTGTGTTTGCTGTGCATAAACTTTTTTTGATAGAACTACCTCCATGCTTAGTTTTTGTTACCCAATTCTTTTTTCCACATTGAGATTAGAAGTTTTTTGACCCTTGCTTGCTTACAAAGAAAAAAAAAATCCCCTTTAAAGTGTAACTAATCCCAAAGAAGTTTACATTATTGTTCAGGTAAGCACTTCCTGGATTGTTTAGTTGATTCCTCCAAGTAGTTTGGATTCTTAAGCTGTCTAGATAGAACCTGTTCAGAAAATAATAGACCTAATAGGATATTGCTTTGATACAAGTAAATGTCAAATTCACTTCAGGAATGATGCTATTCTCAAATTATTTGCCTAATGGATATTAGTTTTTAAACAGTTTTTCCAAGGGTTGAGATAGGTCCACTATAATTTTAAACTTATTTGGGCAAGCAATTTAAAGAGGCTATCAAAGTGGTAAAATACAAATTTGTGGAAAGGAGCAACAGCATAAGCAGAAGAGATGTTGTGAGGAGTAGCAATTTTAAGCATTGTAAAGTTCAGAGCATTTCTGGTGCATGCTTGTAAAAGTAGACTTTTATATGCAACAGTTGAGAACTTAAAATCTTGCATGAATGAAAAATAAGTTGGCTCAGCAGTCATAAACATTATTTGTATCTTTGCACATTGACATATCTTCATTTGGAAAATAGTGAATTCTTCATCTTGGACAAAAATGTTAAAAAGGTGAAATGTGAAGCAATTTGTTCGATTTACTGTGATTGTCATTTTTCCTTTAAGATCCAAAAGATGCGAAATTAAATTTTGTAGTGTTTTTTTGCTGTATTAGAATATATTGTTCACCTTCACAGATGCATGTGGACATTTCTCCCCCTTTTCTTCTTAATAATTCAGGTAAAATATGCTGTGATATACTGAGCAAATTAGCAACTGTTTTGCCAGAACTCATTTCCTGAGCATTTGGCGTTAACTAGGGAAAGTTTACTTTTATTTTTAAAATAGAATTAAATTTGTTGCACTGTAATTTTGATAGGTCTTATGCAGCTCTGTCAGGTTAAGTTCTTTTCTCCCTTCAATCTCTATTGATGTGAAGTTTCTGGATTAGGAAGTTAGAAGGCTAATGAAATTTATTACTTCTAGTTTTCTGTTTGTTGGTTGTCGAAAAATGCAATTGTGGAAAATTACGTGGGTTTATCTAAACTTTTGTTTTAATAAAGGGGTAGACTTGTTGGATACAGCATCTTCTCATATTGCCTATGGTGTAATTTCTCCCAGGTTTGGGAAGTGAAAGCTGCAGACTTGACTATTAGCCCTGTTCATCGCGCCGCAGTTGGCATAGTGGATCCTAATAAGGTTCACTGGATTTTATTTTATTGTACTTCTCATTGTATAATTCTATTTGCTATCACTTTGTGGAATGCAAATTAGATGATATGTTTTCTTCCTCTAATTCCATGTATACATGTGATTAGGGTATTTCTCTTCGATTTCCACGTCTTGTTCGTGTTCGGGAGGATAAACCTCCAGAGCAAGCCTCATCATCTGCGCAGGTGAAGTAACTCTGGTTATATAATCATTTTGATTCAATATTATACATATGAATATGCATTCTCACACTTCTTTGAAACTTCAGGTTGCTGAGATGTATTCTGCTCAAGCTAACACTCGTTCGAACAATCAAGATGACAACGAAGATGATTAAGGAGCAAAGTTGCGCTATATTTCACTCATTTCTGGAGATGTCTGATGTGCAAAGACCAGCAGTCTTGTTGGTACAGCACATGTGAGTAATCTGAATGTGATGTTTATAAGTTTAAGCCTATTAGGGTTTAACCAGTGCATGAGGGCCCAGTTGCCATCCGTCAGCGTGTTCGCCAATAATATAGTGCCAGAGGGCCGAAGCTATGCCGAGGAGTCAAACATTGAGATTATCAGTGGTAATGTTTCATCCTGTACCCTTGACCACTTGAACCAAGGGTCATGGGCTTAGCAATTCTAATGAGCACAACTTAGGAATATTATATGTTTTAAGCTACACACTAATCTTGTTTTCTATAATGTGTGACATGTCTCAATTGAATGCCAGTGATTCTGTTGATAACAAGAAGATGAGAGAATTTTCACCACAGCTACACATTGACATTAACTTACTGAGTCATCCTTTACTCTTTAACATATTGACAGTAAACATTTTGTCTGCATTTCATATTTTTGCATAAATACAGTTGTCTTATTTAAATGTTACATCTTTTTCACGCCCTTGCGCCTAATAATACAACTCCGTGTTGCTTGCATGGCTGCATCAACCCTCAACCTTCAACCTTCAACCCCTACCACATAGGTATAATGTATAGAAAATGGCGTGGAAGTCTATTTCTAATAATTACGAGGAGACAAGACGTTTCCAGTTTTGAAAGGATGGAAGGATGTCTTGTCTTAATCCTTTGAACGAAGAGCTGTTGGTCAAGTGGGTCACAATCGAACCATTGAATCTTTCCATTCCTTAAGCCTCTGCCGTCTTGAACAAGTAATAAATCAAGTAGCCACCGCTATTGGGTTTGGATTTTTAGGCCTAAATATTCTAACTAGTTCTGGGTTTCATATTTGCCTCCGCAAACCTCACGTGGGTTATCCACCAGTCCTACACTTATTCCTGATGAAAGTTTCAATTTCCTTGTCTATGTTCAATTACTTTTGGGGCTCGTTTGGTGCCTAGGAATGGATTGGATTAAATTGGATTGGATAAGCCACTAAATTTGAGATATGTTGAAGGAGGAAAGAAGGTTGCTAGCATTCCTCTTTCCATTTTTGGTCTACCATTTTGTGGGGATTAGTTGTGACAAGTTTTTTTATTTTTCCAAGAGTAATCCATCTTCAACCTTCAAATTGGTCAAAAAAAATTCATTTCTTCTTTAAACATGCTTTAAATATAAGGAGTTATCTTATCTAATCCAATACAATGCATCAAACGAGTCCTTATAAGATGGAGCTTTGTTTTCGACATCGTTAAGTCTTTGGCCAGTTGTCAAGATATGTTTGCGAGACTTATTAAGACGTACATTTGAATGTTCAGACACATGGATAAATGTTGTTACAACACCTGCTATACTAGCTACCACTTAAAAACCTTTACGATGCTGGAACACTTGCCAACCTTGCCAACTTTTTGTTAGTTGGAATTACTATATGAGACTAAACATAAGGGTTGTTATCAAAAATTTTGAGGGGCAACCTATTGCTATCAATTACACTTGAAAGAACTCTTTCATTATCAAATATAGGTCACATCATTGATGACTCGAAAGATGACCATAAAATAACAATCATTATGGCTTATAAGGAATTTTCTTGTTGTAGTTGTAAACCACAACTACAATATGTGAGTTTGATCCGATATTCTATGTTGGTACAAATTGTATATTTGAACTCATAGCTCACAGGCCAAAAATAAAGAACTCATAATTTAAATAAAACTATAATGTAGAAGCACTTAAACTAAACTAATTGAAATATAATCAATTTTTTTTAGTACGAGCGATAGTCTAAACTACAGAGCGAGAGGGATTAACACATACACACATACTACCATGGTGCCATAGGGGTTCGAACTTGAGACCACTAATCTGCAAATCAATGTCATTTTCCATTAGATTAGATCTCGTTGGCAAAATATAATCACTTTTAAAAGAGCCATATTTGACTGAAAATTAGAATGACTCTTATTTCCATAAATGGGCCGGGCTATTGTAGAATAGAACTTTGGAAGGTTTTTAACCATGCACATGTCTGCATGTGCATGTACAGTTTTCTGGTTAACCTGTGTTTTTTTTCTTGGTGAAAATCTATTATAGTGTGTCTTGTCACTTGTGGACCTAAAAGAAACAAGGACTGGAACTGTAAGAGCTGCATAGAACCAAAATTGCTCAACGACTTCTATGTACCAAAATGACTAAATTCACCTAATGATATCTGATGGTGGCATAACTGAAGGAAGATTGCACTTGGGTTTTTCTTTTTCTTTTTCCTTTTTATTTACCTCACTCTGAATATTTACTTCAACCTTGGTGTTGGTTCTGAATTTTCACTTGGATTGGAACAGTAAAATGGGTTCTTTTACCCTCATTGCTCATTGCCAATGAATTTAGTAACTCCAAAGTCAACTGAGTATGTTTTGCAGTAATGAAATGCTATTGGCAAGTTGGATAGCCTGCAATAATTTGCTCCACTTTTGAGAGATAAAGGTATAAACAAGTAAGTGGGGGCAGATTAGAAAAGAAGAGGGGTTTAGTTAATTAGAATTAAGAATTAAAGTAAGGGGGGAGGGAAAAATTGATGTTGAGAAACATGGGGGGGGATTGGACTTGAAAACAATCATGCTTCCCTCAAAATATTTATAGATTTATAATCATACATCACACCAGTAGCAGATCCTGATTCTGATTTTTGGGTTCCACTCAACCCGACAAGCAAGGCTCTTAACCTTTCTGGTTGTTGGCCACACCCATCCTCTAACCTCAACAACTCCACACCTATAATCTTAATGTTTTGATGTGATCTCTCTCTCTCCCTCTCTCTGTGCTTCTCTCTCCTCAATCTCACACAACACACACACAAACAAACAGAATGAACTTACTGAACTAGTATCAAAGTTACATTCTACATCCCACAACAAATTTGGAAAAATCAGGCCCGATTTCACATTCATGGAGCAAAACTAAAATGTGAAAGGCCCAAAAAGAAAAGAGACAAATTAAAATCCCCACAAAACGAAGCTCTCTTACTCTTTTACTGGTTTCTCCCTGAGTTAATCTGGAAAATAGCTGCCTCTTTTCTCTAGAACAATCCTCTGTACAAATGCTAGATCAGTCACATACCCACTTGAAATTCATGGTTTTTTTCTCATCCTCACTAACCTTTTAGTTGTATTCAATTATAATTATATAAATATCAAACTGTAAAAAAGCTGCTGCAGTCAGTGAAGAACAACCCTTTGGAACTTGGTCTCTGAAGGAGAGTCAGAGCCGTCACAGGGGGCTCTTTTCCTGTTGACTATGCCACAGTTGGTGTTGCAGCCATTACTGTTAATCAAGGAGGAGTCTTGGTGGATGATCTGTGTGGGCAATGGAGGTTGTGGTGAAGGAATGGTCACAGGGGGGATTTCAAAGGACTCAAGTGGTGGTGGTGGGTGTCTCCATTGAGGCAGTGGTCCAGCCAGGAGAAGGGTTGAAAGCAGTGGACCAGCTTTCATGACTGCCTGCAAAAGCTTGCCTTTTTCAGGCAATGGCTTCTCAGGCACTAGCTCCACTGTTTGGTGTGGCACAGATGGTCCTGCTGGCAACTGGGTTGGTTGAATTGGGTCAAGAACTGGAGAGGAGACAATGCTTTCTTCACAATCTGAGGAAGAAAAGCCATTGTTGGAGTCAATTCCCCTTCTGGGTTCATCTTCAATGCTTGAAATTCCAGACAGAGGAGCTGTTTGCTGCTGCTGCTGTTGTTGGAGTTGGAGTTGGAGTTGTTGCTGCTGCTGCTGCTGTTGGAGAAGGAGCTTCTCAAGGAGAAGTCTTTGGCATTTGTCTTGTGCTTCATCTCTCTCTCTGATAGCTTTGTTAAGCAGATCTTTGAGATGAGACAATTGATCATCTCTCTTTCTTAGCTCCTCCTGCACTGCAACCCTTGTTTGTTCCAGCTCCACAGTTGTGAACAAAAGGGTATGCCTCAACTCTTCCATGCTCTGTATGATCCAAGCAGAGTCAATACACAAATACCATGTAACTTTTTCCCCTCAATTTGCAAATAAAATCCCAACTAAACCCATAAAATTGAAAGTTGGGTCTCAAATTGAAGAGAACAGAAACCCCATTGTGCAATTTGAAGGACAAAAGTAAACAAGTAGTTACAATTTACAAAAACCCTCTGAAGCTGACAAAATTAAGAAAATTGCTTGTTTGTTTTACCTTTCCTTGGCAGTAGTATTGCCAGCTGCTAAGAACAGGGCTGCTGCGCTGGTTGTCCATGCTGTTGTTGCTGCTACTCTGGTGTGAAGAAGAGAACCAAAAGTGAATTGAGATGGTGAGAGAGAGGAAGAAGAAAGAGAGGTGAGGAAGGAAAGAGAGGTGAGAAAGTTAAAGAGAGAGAGAGATGTGGGGTTTTTGAGTGGTTCTTCTAGCTCTTATAACAAGTACCTGACGTCACTGTTTCTTCTGTTCTTTGTTGCTTTTTTTTCTCACTGAGGGGGTTGGACAAAAGCACAAAAGGCCAATTCCTCTCTCTCTCTCTCTCCCCCCGAGTCATCAGTCAGTCTTTTCTTTTGGTACCAAGCCAAGCCAAGCCTAATGCCTAATGGCTATGAATCTCTCTAGACTCTCTGTCGCACAAACAAGCGCGGGGAATCGTAAATCAGCGAAAAAAGCGGGAGTAACAAAAAAAAAAAAAACAGTCTTGCTATGTTTTGCTTTTCTCTAGCCGCTTGCACAAATATGGGAAAGAAATTTGACATCAAAATTTCTGAACAGCCTTTAACCCCTATATCTAAAGGTAATTATAATTTTAAAAGGAAAAAAAGACTTGATAAGACACTAGTTTATGAGTTTTGCTTTTCTTTTTCTCTTTTTTTTTTCTTCTCATTTTTGGGTAAATGGCTTATGAGTATTCTGATGGGTTATGTGACAAGTGAAAAGTGTATGAATGGCTGAAGATACCATTACACTCGGCCAAACGAAATCATTTCGAGCGGTTTGATTTCTATAATAAAAATATGTAATTCTGAATTGAACTAAAATCAAATAAAAACTAGTTTTGTTCGATGAACCAAACCAATACAAATCTTGTGTGGTTGAAATTTAAACCAAACTAAACCAAAAGTTGAATCATCCCTCACCACACATGTGCAAACTTGAGAGAAAGAAGGCTCATTAATGTTTTAGCCAAAACCTAATGGCGGCTAGCGTCCCCTATAAAAGAAGAAATTTTTATATGTTCCGGATACATCACGCGTAACGTGGCTAATGTATTATCCAATAAACATAGGAAATGTGGAATTATTCTCCATTTTATTACATTACTTTTTATGACATGTGACTGGTTGTATTGTAAATATTCCACATGCTATATGTCTATTAGATAGTACACTAGCACCCAAATGAATTTATGGTTACATATTTTTTTGTAAATTATTCTTTACCCTTAGTTTTTGTAACTTTTTACATTTTTAATTAAGAGAAAATTAACCATAACACCTATTGGACCTTACTGGTTCGAATAAAGAGTTGACTAACTATCGAACCAATTACCTTTAAAGTCAACAGCATGATTATAAAACATTACAAAGTAGCACATACGTTTAGTATGATAATACATCAACTTCTTTTCTTATGAGGTTTTTTTTTTTTTTTTAAGATTAGGAAAAAAAAAAAACTCCCTACGTGCGTCCATCAAATATTGAGTGCTTTACGAATAAAGAATTTAGGGAATATACTTTAATTTATGAAATATAACATGAGTTAAAACTTAGAAGTAAACCATATTCTGTTTTGTTTAACACGTTATGGTATTAGTTAATTAAGTCAAATTATATGTTATGATATCAGCTATGATAATTAATTAAGTCAAATTATATTTATTTGTACAATTTTCGTTCACAGTCTCATTACATAATATATTTAGAAGTCTCGAACTGCTTCTTAAGTCTCGAACTACCTAAAGAAGCGATAAATTTAAGTTCATTAAAACTTTCATATATATTTTTCCTGCACGTGGGCCGCCTTACCTGCACTCAATATTTTCTCCTTAAGTTCACTGTTGAATTGATAGAATTTGAATTGCTTACCTTGAATTTTCCTTTTCCTATGAATATTCGAGAAATCAAAGGTATAACTACGGTACAAGCACAAACAAATTTACGGTCCTAATTGCCACGCTCCAAGTTGTTTACTGGGAAGTGCTTGCCACGTGGAAGCATTTAATTTAACCAGAGACCACAAAGTCTAGCTTTTATATGATTATTATTCTGCAAAGCAGTGGAGAGGCTTTGTCTGAACAATATGAGCATAAAGAATCTAGAAACTGACTAGTCCTCTGATTAAAATTTGGTTTTATTAATATTTTAATGTGAAGTCATATTGAAGTAATTTAAAAGCTGATATTAGGTAAGATTCTTTAACTTTTACTTGGAAATTAGGGAGAATTTTTGTTTTCGTGGGTTAAACAATTTGTTTCAAACTTGCACTCATATGCTTGCGGTCGTCTCATGCCTCATCTGCTTCTTTTGTCCATGTAATACTATTTGGAATTCTTTTTTCTGTCCTTCGAAACAATAATATTCTTGCTCTCCAACTTAATAGGTGAATTGTTGGTCAATTATAGAATGATCAAATGCTTGTTTGTAAGATCGTGTAACTAGTTATGAGACCGTACTTAGTCAATCCATATCAATATAACTGTGTTTAATTACGTCTGAAATCGACTTGTTTGTTTATTGCATTCATTCTCAATTCTAAAAACTCTTAGACAAGAAAGAAAACAAATTTCATTATGAATATTATAAGAAAGTTTTATTAGTCTTTCTAGCTAGCTAGCTAGGTAGAAAAGAGCATATACGTCCAATGTCCAAAAAAGAAAAAAGAATTAAGAAGGAGAAATGGCATGTCTTGTTTGACAAACCCAATTATGTGATAACTAGGAATCATGGTTTGATGAACATCTTTGACTTGAAGGGTCTGCCAAGCAATCAAAGCATGTGCATTTCTTGACAAGCATAGTGAAACCCTAAAGGCCTAAAACATACATACATACATTTTTTAGAAAATTCGGTATAAGTTCAAAATTGAAAACAAAAGTCGGATGCAATCCTCGTATTTGTTGTTATTGATACAAGTCCTTTGACTTTTGTGCCACCTATGATTACATTCATTTTTTTTATTTTTTTTTATTTTTTGATATTTATATATTATTATTTTTTCATTTTAAAATTACTTTGTTATTCCCATCATGCCCCTAAAAATTAAATAAGGTAAAAAATTAATTTTTTTCATAATAATTATGATATTTTCAAAATGAGATAAACATAAAATACTGCCACAAATCACGTCTCCTATCATTTTTGAAATAGGCTATTATATTTTAGTCATGCTCCTATATGAACGTTGGCCTGTTGTGGCTTTGTATTCTTGCACTATGGCAACCTGTACACAAGGTACATAAATATTCTTTTACTCTTTGCCATAGCTTTTGTTATTCACTAATTTTTTTTGTTTGTTTTCTTCTTTGATAATACAATTCCTCCTTGTTTTACTTATGATTTTGTTTAGCTCACTTTTTTTCTTCACGTTTTTGTTGCTGTAAAGTTCATTCCCACTTAATATCTTTAATTAAGATGCAATTAACCATTAACACAAGTGGGTTTTGTGTTTCCCCCCACATCATTTTCCATTCCTTTGTTTCTTGATAGTTAATTAACTTCCAGTTTTTCCTATTTTTCCCATGTTTTTGTTGTGACATTTTACGATTATTGATTGTATCACTCAAATCCACACATTTTATCTAAAATCTACATGTTTATCAGGTATAGTAGAGTATACTACTTATGCATTAGGTACACATGAAAAAATTAATAAAAATCAATGAACCCAAATCTACAGCAGAAAAAGTGTGAACTAAACCCAATGACGACTAGGAATTTTGAACTTAGATCGAAGAACCCCTATATTTTTCTCATACATTTTCCTAACGTATATCTCACTGTCCCCTACGTGGGTGTATAGATGTATAGTCAAGTGAGCTGCTTTCATACAGTCTCATTGGTCAGAAAAAAGGAGCTGGTAACCAAACTTTCCCACCAATATTTGGCATTGCCCGAAGAAAGGTGAATAAAGAAAGAAACCCTTCTGCACGATTATAATTTAAAGTCCTCCTTGGAAGAAAGGAGGGAGGCTTCCATTTGACTAATTCAAGACTCTCTCTTGCTTGAAAATATTTTTTCAATACACAAGTCTATATATATGCATACACGTGTACGGCCTGGAGCACTGAAGTCATCATCATAAATTATGATATGTTGATTATGTTTTGTGGGATATTAGAGTATTGATTTGATTAATTTTATATACAAGAAGTTCAAGAAAATATTAGTTTTTAAATATCGATAAAGGGGAGAGGGAAAATTCCATGATAATAACCCAAATTTTCAAAAAAGAATATCTAAGATGGGGCGCCGAACCTTTATGTCCCATCTGTGGTGCGATTATCTTTGGCTGCACATCTATTGTACGATGCCCTAGGAAGCTGCAAACTTAAGCATCAGACAGACCAACTAAAAGACCATGGACACCTTCCAACTTTTCCACTCTTTCACAACTTGAAGAAAGGTGAGGTGAGGGTAGTAGGGCATACACATAATTATGATACTATTGCTCCCCAAGATTTTGATGAACTTGTTACATGTGTGACATGAATAGATGACAAGAGGACAGGTTGCTGTTGAATTTGTCCTTGTCATTCTCGTCCTCGTGGATTACAGGAACCTTATTGGATCAACGACCCTCGATAAATATTTTGTTTAAATTTCCTCCTTCATAAAATGATTGAAACTTGTAGTTTCGTACATATAAAGCACAATAACACATATAATCTTAAACACAAACCTAAACGGATAACGGGTAACGAACAAGAATGGGTGGGGAGCTTCATGCTTTGGCAACTAATCATGTCTCTATATGTACATTACAATTCATGTGTTATGCTGAGGAGCCAAAGCATAATGTTCTTTATCCTCTAAACCATATGGCTATGAGAGATAAGTAAAGAAAGGGTGTCAAAGCCACAAACTTGAGTGTTGTTTTTCTCTGTCTCTCACGCAGGCATGTTATGAAATAATAATAACAATGATAAAGATGTCATAATACCAATAATTAATTTAATTATGCCAATTAAGGAATATAGTATCAGGACCAAATATATATTCCCATACCCATAGTAGCTTGTGAATTGAGACTCCCAATGTAGTTGCTCTCTCTGCAGCAGAATGCAGAGATCTTTAAGGAAAGTCTTCCTCACAGACAAAAAGAGCAGACAGGAAATATCATTACAATATTACTTTTACCAACATAAACATGCATTATACTAGATAAATCCACCAATATATAAATACATATTATTTTTATATTTTTATATATACTGTACTAGAGCATGAGCACCAGCTCCAACACAAAATATTTGGTAGGACCCATCTTCCAGATTTTACACTTGGGCCCCACATTATCTTACTTGCAATGCCTTGTAAATCAAACAAGCAAATGGCTTGATCCAAAGGGTATGA